TGCTTATTTGATTTTTCTTTTTTTTTTTTTGGGTCCAATCTTTTTTTTTTAAACCATTTTTAAAAACTTGTCTTTGTGTTTAAATAGATGAAAAATTAATCTAAAAATTTAGGTCCCGTTTTTGGTTTTCTTGTTTAGGAAAATTAAATCCGTAAGCAATTAATATTTTAACCTATGTATTTCTTTATTTTGCATTTACTTTTTTAAATTGTTTTCAACTCTGAGTCAAATTTTAAAAATTTTGAAAAAATAGATCACAAGAACTTACTTTTGTTTTTGAAGTAGTTTTAAAGAAAGATGGAAACATATTAAACAAATTGCTACTAAACCAGCATTATTTTTTAAATCATAAAATTAAAAATGAATGGATTATTAATGGAGCGTAGTTATAAAATTTTTATGAACTTGTTTTTTAATTTGAATCTATGATCTATGAAGAAGTTTATTAGTGTTAAGTAGGTTCAAATTTACAAACTTTAATAAATCTGATTTTACTAAAATTAATAGGTTCAAATTCTACGATGATCACCTACTTATCTTAAGAATTAATTCTTAGTTATTTTCTGGCGTAAAAAATAGTAGGATCAAGTGGTTGTTCCATGAGATTAGTCAAAGACATCGGTAAGTTGAGTTGGACACCAACGAACATAAAATTAAAAAAAAATTAAAAAAAAAAGTAAGTACTTTTTTCTGTTGATGAGTTTACGAGTTGAATATTTTACTATACATCAACTTTTTATATTTCATGTGAATTATTTGATCTCCCTGTTCCCTCCCTTATCTCAATGTATATGCCCCTAGAAAGTGTGGAAAAAAAAAGTTAAAAAAAAAAAAGTATGGTCACATGTTTTGGTTGGGAATTGCGCCACGTCCGCCCACACAATCAGTGCCCCCACACCCCATGGAATACAGTCTCTGAATCCTAAATATAGAAAAATAGATTGAGGATTAGATCCCCAACTTTGTTTGAGATTTATTTTCTTGTTGTAATATAACTAATATTTGAAAATGAGATTGTTACTTAGACTGAAAAATACAGTGACCGGATGGTGCCATCTTTAGAGATAGAATAACTGTATTGGTTAGTTACTATATTTATTTAATTATTTATTAAAAATGTTATCATTCTATTTGCATTAAATGACCATCAATTTTCATTATGAAATAATACATTTAAAATATATTAATAAATGTAATAGAATGATATTTATGGAGGGTAATTTGGTAACAAAACTGCTAATTTAAATACTGTAAATCTAGATTTATAAATATTTTAAAGGGTGAACATTTGTGACACATCAGGTCTAACATGACCGAGACAATTTCTCAAAAATGGAGAAAATAGATGCAAGATTACGAGGAGGCATAGGAGATCCAAATACGAGAATATTGGGCCTTTGGCCCAGATATGGAGATTGAATGCTGTAGTAAATCTGGGCACTCAAATTTTGGCCAACCCAGCCCAGTTGACAAAAAAAAAATTCGAAAATTTATATATTTAAGCCAAACTTAAGGTATGCGGTGCAGATGATGGGTATTTGGAAATAGTAGAGGCACACGTGAAATTAATTAATTAAAATGAACCCAACTACCAAGTTTTGGTTTGATTTCATGCTATATTTGATTCGAATAAATGATACACGTAGAGTTAGAAAGGTATATGAAAACAATATTTAGTTGGCACAAAATCCTTTGAAAATTGAGGTTCAAAGTAGTAGTTGTATGTATTATTTTTTACTTCAATAAAAAGATACAAGAAAACCTATAAATATTCCAAGTTTTGAATAGTGTTTTTATATGATTTTATAGACACATTTTAATATAAATTAAAAAGATATTTAAGAAACTACCGTTATCGATAAGTAACGTTTCTATTTCATTCCAAGAAGAAAAATATAATTACATTTTAGGAAAAATAAACAAAGGATATTTGATTGCATGTTTAAAATTGTAAAGTTTTACATTTAAAAAATAAAAAATAAAAAATTTATATGGAAGTTAATTTTAAAAATAAATATTATAATTTGTTAGGTTATATTTAATCTTTAATAGTTTTATTTTTGTTTAAATTGAAAACTTAATAGTTGTTTTCAAAATTTTCATATAATTTTGGAAAGTTTCTTAAAAATATAAATGGAAAATATATTGATGTTTTTCACATTATATAAGAGAACGGAAATAAACAATAAAAAAAACATTATCAAACAAATCCTAAAATAATTTAATTTCAATGTTTTATATGTAAAACAAATTATAAATTCACAATCTCCTATATCTTATATTAAAAAAAAACAAAAACTTTTAAACTTCTTATATTTTATTTTAAAAAAAGTTAAAATACTGTTTAGTTGCTGTATTTCCAACTTTAGTTCATTTTGGTAAATATAGTCTCAACTCTAATTCATTTTAATCCCTGGTATTTTCAGAATATATTTTGTAGTCTCTAGACCGTTAAAAAACGATTTTTTGATTAGACATAAGTACCAATTTTTACAACAATTTCAACATGATACTACACTCGTTATATTTCTCAAAATGCAACAATGATTTTATGTTAACGAGTTTGCGCTATGCATATAATTTGTGTTAAAATTTCGCAAATATAGACTAAAACGACCTTTTTTTTTTTAATGTATAATAACCAAAATACATATTTTAAAAATATGGGGAACAATAAATAAATATGAGAATAGAGTCAACAAAATAGTATTTAAATAAATAAATATATAAAAACTAGCCTCACTCTCATATAAGCAAAAACAAAAAAAAAGACTAACATCCTCGTGCACGATGAAAAGGAGGTAATTCTTTTTCCCCTTCAGTATTTTTCTGAACATATTCTCGTAATTAGAATTACAAATTTAGAACACAAAAAAAACTTTATGTTATATTTCCCGTTCATAGAATCAAACTCAATTTGAAGTTCTTTTCACAACCGGCCGTCCGGCGATTGTGCTCCGAGCTCCGGCATTGCGGTCCCCCAATTTGTTCTCTTCATATTTACAACTTCATTGCACGATTTCTGCATCTGAATCTTTCTCTGAAGGAGGATCAATATGTCGCTTCAACGGCTCCGGGATCCGGTTTCTCTTCTCCGAGCTCGGCTCCGAGCTTTCTATTCGTCTTCACCTACCTCCTCCAGATACATTTCTCGGTACGGCTTTTGGACTTTGTGATTGATTGATTGATTTTAGTTTCTTATTGTATATGCTCGATCTTCCTGGTTGAAGTCGTTTTCTATTTCTACGCGACCTGTTTGTTTCTGTGTGGACTTGCTGTATAGTAGCTGTGCGAAACTTGATATTATGATTGATTTTGTGAGAAATTTCGTTTGATTGAATGTTTTAAGCTGGTGAGCTGGTGCTTGTGTTGTCTAGTTATGTCAAATGTCAGTTTGGTTCAATCGCAAAGGACTGAGGAAGAGTTCTAAATGCTGAATTGGCTTGCTTAGCTCCAGTAACTGACACACTCAATATTTCTTCATGACCTATAATAAAGTGTTTATTTTTCCGTTGTTCTGAGGCCTACAAGCTGCTGATTAGAACCGCAAGGATCTTGAAGATCTTCTACGGCATTGTCTAGTGCGCACCATTTTCATAAATTAGCTCATCAAATCTCTCCCACTCCCTCTGCCGTCCTTGGAGCTGGGAACTATGGAAGAAAACAAAAAAGTCATCTTCAATTTTGTTACTTGCCCGTACTTCTATTGTCCAAAAAAAGTGGACAGAGAAGAGCAAAGACATGGATAGAAGTTTAAGCCTTAATTGGACGCTTAATACTTAATACTATTAAGCGTCCTAATACTTCTAGTGCAACTCTGAAACGTAAATACAGGTCAACTTATATGGTCAGATTTTCTACATGCAACTGTCCTGTAACATTTTGAAAAACTTAATATGGTTCTACTGCCAGTCTGAATCTAAGAATCAGAAAATTGTTAACTATAGCAAATTTATAAAAAACTGTAAAGATAAAAACTTGAAAGCCTACAAATAACACAACCTTTCTTAAATCTTCTAACCCTAGAATTGGTTTCCCTAATCATGCCCTGACGTAAATCTTTACTTGTTGAAGAATTATTTTCCAAAACTAACAAACGTCACAACCTTTTATGATGCTGAGTGCATCTAGAAATGGAGGCTTCTATCATTTCTAATTGCTGAGACTACAAAATTCAGGGGCTGATGAGTACCAAATGACATCAAAATGACACTTATTTTATAGTTTTTCTCCAAAATCTTTGATTTTTTGTGAAAATTGGATGCTATTACTGTCATGAAAATTTATCTATTCTTCTGTAGGAACTTCGTAATTGTGTGAGCATGGACTTGCAGGTGTAGCACTTGGAATGTACAAAGGTTTTCTGTTGCTGGTGATGGCCCCCTCTTTAGGTTTGCATATCCTACTGTTTGTAATTGTTTTATCCAGAAACTAACCCAGATAATTATACCAGGCAATGTTGTTGGCATAATCTTTTTACACTTCACCTTATTTCTCAACATTTTGACTCACCAACTGAAAATAAACGTGATAGGCCTGTGTCTTTTTCTCTTTTCACTGGAGCTTGTGGTCGAACATTGCATTTAGAGGTTAGCCTTCAAGGTGGATAAGATTTTTGCTTGTTCAGTTGAATTATTCTCTAATCTGTAACCTTGTTTCATTTTCAGCAGCCAGTTAGTATCAGGTTTTTCTCATCCACAGGTATCATCTATTTGTTGTGTTATTTATCCTAGTTTCCAACGCAGAAATACTTAAGGTCTATGTTATAAGAGGCATATTTTTTGTTATGGTATAATCTTCTTCTTGCTATCATAATTGTTGGTAGTTTGAAATTCTTCAGAACCCGTTAGTATTTAGCTCAGAGGATTGATAGGACGATGGAAAATGGAAAATTGTATACGTGATCTTTTGCTTCTATGACGTTTGTAACATCACTTTGAGAACTTGGGTCAAGGTCATTATTAAAATTGTTTGTAGAAGTCCTAGAAATTAAAATGCTTAGGTCGTGTGAATGCTGCTCAATGCATGATTATACATATCTTGGTTTATGTTATTTTAACAAGATTTTGGATCCTGTGAGTTGTGTCAATAGATTATCTTCTGATTCTAAGTTGATTATGACTTCAGATTCTTCACATGCGGTCCTTGAAATGCCAGCATTATCGCCTACAATGGTAAGAGGTTCCAAAATGAACTTATGAGTAGCTGACTTTTTATTTTTTGATTCCCCCACCCCCACTATTATTCTCCTTCATTAACAAATTATTTCTGTTTTCCACAGAATCAAGGTAATATTGCCAAATGGAGGAAAAAAGAAGGGGATAAGGTCAGTTTAACATCCTTCTATGGATTAACCTGTATTATTGGTGACTGTGTGATTTAAAGATGACTGATGAAAGTGAAAGTTCATCTTTCAACAGTGAAAACTCTTTGTTAACACCAGTTGCTGTACATATCTTCTTAACATGACAGATAGCAGTTGGCGATGTCCTGTGTGAAATTGAAACTGACAAAGCTACTCTTGAGTTTGAAAGTCTCGAGGAGGGGTAATATTAATTATTATATCATCATTTTAGATCTCGAACTTCATCATCAATGTATTCGTAGAGCTGAATTTGACTGAATACTCAAGACATAATATCTTTTGGTTATGGGCTTTCAGATTCTTGGCTAAAATATTGGTTCCCGAAGGTTCAAAAGACGTACCAGTTGGACAGCCCATTGCAATCACGGTAATTGTTTCTGTGAGAATTCAACATTTGTCCATATTTTTATTAGAGCTACTATATGCTTTCTTTTCCTTTGCATCTTGAGGGGGCCTGGGGGTAATCTCTTTCTGCAATAGATTTGATCGTAGAGTTTGGACCATAAATTTATTTGAAGTTTTCTCTGCGTATTCATTCTGTAACTGTTTGGAAGGCCATTCCCTTGGAAAATTTTGGAAGACTCAAATTATATGGACTCGCGAGGAAGTGAAACTTAGAGCTCACTTCATGTTCTTTTACTAGCTTCATCCTCAGTTGTGCATCCTTTCTAGAAAATTGATAAACAACATGGACCACTAATCTATCCATTACTGCTATACATCTCTTCTGAGGGATTTGTGTTTTTATTGCTTTCAATTCTCCTTTCTTGTGAATTTGGATGCTTTATAAAATGGTGTATTTGGAACCTTTAGCTCCATTGCAAAGGTACATGTCTTTTGAAGTACTGGTTTGATGTTAATGATGTGGAGAATTTTGCTTGAAAAAGTAGACGCCTTTTTAGGACAAGGATACAAATGTAGGGGGAACGTGGGCCTAGAAATGACTTCCATGTTTCTTTCTCAGCCTCTACTGCTCCTGATTTCGGAGGCATTCCCTCTTATGCAATGTGAAATACTTAGAACTGGTACTTCTAAAGAAGATCAGTATGTATGTAGTTTGGAGCTGTTAGTGGTTTTCTTTTATATTTTTTTAAATTTATTTTTAGGGGCTGGTGTGGGGTCTTGCTCTGCATTTGTTCCGAAGTATTTTTATTCTTATACCTGTTACCATTTTTATTTGAAGCTGAATTCCTTTTCCATTTTTATTGTTTTGATTTTAGTTCTAGCAAATGGGTGAAGTTAAATAATTTTTTTGCATGAAGGACAAAAGTTATTATTATTATTATTAGTTTGTATCTAATAGGAGGAATGAAAGTTTTTTCTTAGTTTCTTTAATTTTGTCTTTCTTATAAACGGTGATTGTTCTCTGCTGTGCCAACTAGTTGTTAGACATTACATACTTAAGGGTTCAATAGCCTACCATCTTCTGGTACTTTCAATTTGTCAAAAGCAAAATGTTAATGGAAAAAAATTGTCAGAGGAGACTGAATTTGCACTGCAGAAAAGCAACATTTAAACATCCCCGACCAGATATCCAGCTAGCAAGATAAGAAATGAAGAGATGTTTTTGAACAGCTTGGTAATCAAGGTTCATAGAGAAGACAGAAAGGACAATTTAGACCAATATAAATCAGATCATCATGACTGTCTTCAAATATCCTGTTGGTTATTTCTTTCAAATACTTCGAATAATTGTCGGAATGGAATAAATGAAAATTGTGCTCTTTCTCCTGTTTCTTTTCATGTACCTGTCGTTGTGATTACCTTTTGGTATGTGGAACAACAGTATACTTCTACACTCGGTCCTTCTGTATTGGCTACTGTTTCATGGCAAATTCAAGCACTTAAAATTTGAAGTATTTTATTTTAAGTATTAATCAATTATGCAGTAAGTTAATTAGGGCTAACCAATTGCATTATCAAGGTTGAGGATCCAGATGATATCCATAGGGTCTCTGCCGATGATGTATCAGGTGCATCTGTTATTAAAGATGATACGGTAGGGGGTCAAGAGGACAAAAATGAGGATGGGGCACAAGCAAGTTCTGTGGAGATAAACCCATCGAAACTTCCCCCTCATATTATACTTGGGATGCCAGCTTTATCTCCAACTATGGTAATAAATCAATTTTATATCTCTGCTAAGGTTAACGACTTATTTTTCCTTTTCCTTCCTCCTGTTGAAATTTGAGATTGCTGGTCCCATGTTCCTTTCAGAACCAAGGTAACATTGCTAATTGGAGAAAGAAAGAGGGAGACAAGGTTTGTAATGTGTTTCTCTTGAAATTTTCTTTCAAAAAGGAAGGTTGATGAAACTTCTATTTGATGTGTGAATTTTGAGATTACTTTATTGCCTTAATTATCTATCAGATCGAGGTGGGTGATGTAATATGCGAGATAGAGACAGACAAGGCCACCCTTGAATTTGAAAGTCTTGAAGAAGGGTAATGTATCACTTCATATTCTAGATTCACCTATTTTCTCTTTTAAGCTCGTGCACATGTTGGCTGTTTTCGTATATAAAAATTTCTCGTATAGTTTGTAGTTTTCGACAGCATATGCTTTTTCAAGTAAACATGATTAAATTAGGTACCTTGGAATTTATTACGTACTATTGAGATATGTTATCCCCATACTTTCCTTCATTTTTCTCTATGCTGGAAATCCTACATTTCATTTGATAAACTCTGTAACTTAATATAAGTAACTAATAACAATTCAGTTGACCCCTATTGCCGTTATATAATCTTTTAGCTTTTTTTTAGTGCTATTTTCTCCACTCTTTTCTTATCTTTTAAGCTATGTTGTTGATTATGATTAAGAAAAAGAAACTGGGTATGATGGCTGATGGAACTTAATTCAACCCAGCACCCAGAAATGATAAAGTTAAAGCTTATTGACCTAACCCACACACATTAGTAGAAATTAATGCTCAGTTCATTCTGCCTATTGCTGTTCTATAATCATTTAACTGTACTTTAGTACTATATTCTCTCCTCTTTTCTTCTTTTAAGTGATGCTGATTATAATCATGTGTATGGTTGAGGCCCTTAATTCAACCCGACGATGATGAAGTTAAAGCCTAATGTGCCAATCTACATGCATTAGTAGAAAGTAGGCTCAGTTTTGAACCTAATGAATGCTTTATGGGTGTACCAAGGAATTTGTAAATATAACAAAACAATAATGAAATATTCTTCAGAGAGAAACAAGCTATTGAACCAAAGCACTACAGGATTACATTGCTGTTGGAAAGCTAGTTGTTTCCAAAGGAGTATCGTTTCTTCAGGGTTTTATTTCACTGGACAACTTACTTTTTTCTTTTTATTTAATAAGAAATGATCCATTGTAAAGAGGAACCATGCACGAGAGGACAAAGGGTCAGATAAAACATCCTCATAGCCCCCCCCAAAAAAAGGATTTCTAGAAAGTATTAAAAGAAATTTTGGAACAGTTACAAAAACTCTTGCCACGAGAACTCTATCAAAAAGCTAAAACATATCAAATCTAGAACTATGCAGATAACTAGGAATTTATAATTTCCTTTCTAACCAGAATCCTCGACCCTTAGTAAGATCATGTTGGAAAGAAAACCATCACTCCACATACGAACAAGTGGCCAGTAAGAAGTGGAGTGAACATATCTTTTAAGTTACGTGGCCAGATGGCCTACACCACGTAAAAGTAGAAAGTTGGAAATTACTCCCCCAAATTATAGGTTTGCCTTCTCGTTTTATTCAGCGATTATTTCGTATTTTGTAGTAACTATTTCTTATCTGTTAGTTAAGGTTAGAACTATTACATAGTTTTCTCGTTAAGAATAAGAGGGGTTTTTCCTTCTACCATAAAACTTCTCATTTATTTTCGTGGAACATAACTTGTAGGTATTTGGCCAAGAAACTAGCACCTGAAGGCTCAAAGGACGTGGCAGTTGGAAAACCGATTGCAGTTACAGTAAGTGTTAAAATGCCTGTTATGTATAACTTTCTTTTGCTGTTTCTTGAGGATGAAATTATATCCAATGCAATCAAATTATACTGGTATCTGGTGATTGGTGTAGTGTTATTCACAATGTTTTAACTTTAACATATTTGATGTATGAGTTTGATAATGAAATTCTCTGTTTCTTAACACAAAAAAAAAAAAAAATATTTAATGTATGAGAAATTCTTTGCAAGTTCTTATTATTGTGGACAGCTCTTTTCTTGCTGACTCGATATGTAATGTTAAGTTGTCTGTTTGGCAAGGTTGAAGATCCTGCAGATATTGAATCTGTAAAAAATGCTGTTAGTAGTAGTGTGGGGATTAAAGAGGACAAAGCTACCCACAGTACTACTAGAAAGGACGTTGGAACATCAAAAGGAGGTAGTGTTGCAAGAATAAGCCCTGCTGCTAAGTTGCTAATTGCGGAACATGGTCTGGATGCATCATCATTGAAGGCATCAGGGTCTCATGGCACACTGTTGAAAGGGGATGTTCTGGCTGCCATTAAATCAGGGAAAGGCTTGTCTTCTTTGTCCAAAGAGAAAAGCTCACCTGGCGTCCGTGCACAGGCTTCTTCCACAGCCTCATCGGAATCAAAATCTCCAATAAAGCAATCTGATCCTTTTGAAGATTTACCTAATAGTCAAATTCGCAAGGTACACGCTTTCATATTTCCTTTTGTAACATGTTTATTCTTTGGTACCAGGACTGATTTTCTACAGGATTAGCATTTAGTACTGCGACCAACAGAAAATTGGTTTTTCAAAATAAAAAAACAATAACTTCTTGCGGTGCTTTGTAATGATTGTTTGCAATTTTGAATAAATTCAACGAGATCAAGAGGAATATCTACAGCATCTGGGTGTTTCAATACTTCTCACCTTCTTTACGGAGTTCTTTGCCTAAATATATTTTCAATTACTCCTCCCCATTAATTAATACCTACTGAAGTGTGTCTTTGTAATCTAAAGGTTTCCTTTCATTGGGAGGGTGTTTTTCTTCTCTCGCACTTCCACCCATCTTCATTATCAGAAATTTTGTAGTTGCAAAAGCTAAAAATACCTTCTGCTTGCTTACAATGAGGACACAAAAAATTTCTTCCAATGTATCTCAAGAGGTGAGGTGCATTATAGTTTATAGGAAATACGCTGAAAGTGCGAACTGAAGTAGTATTGTGTATCAGCTCAGTGTACATTCTTTGGTTGCAAGCTGTACACGAGCGTTATGGACTTGTGTGCATGAGGCTATAATTCTCATGATTATGAATATCACTAAAGAATGAGATACAGTTGACTTGTGAACTAAGCTGTGTTTAACTGCATCCAGTGATTACCTTGTTCACTGTGATAAACATAATTTAATCAATTGATCATGGGTTTAAAATCCTTCCTGGCCACCATCAAATGGTCCTTGGGTTCAATAATTACCAGAATTACAGAATTCAATTTTAGTGATATGTAGGATTGACCCTACTAAGGTTCAACAGGCCAGAGAGGATTTCTAGTTGTACAGTATAACTGACAACAACAGCAATAAAAAAGAAGAAAAAAGAAGAAAGAAAGATAGGACTAATTGATCCTTGTATGAAGTAATCTGTTGAACTAGGAGTAAAAACACGTCATTATTCCTTCCTCCCTTTCCCTCTCCTGCTTTTGGCTTAAAAGTTGCTATAATATCTAACAACGTTGTAAATACAACATGGGTTTTGCAGGTGATTGCTAAAAGATTATTGGAGTCGAAACAAAATACACCACATCTATATTTGTCCACAGGTGCTTTGACTTTCGCACTATACCTACATATTTAGAATTCAGTTCATCCACTTCTAACATTCTTGACCCTTCTTATCAGATGTTATATTGGATCCTCTTCTTTCATTTAGAAAAGATCTTAAAGGTTTGGATTATAAACTATGACTTGGTTTAATTGGTTTCTTCGGCTTACTTTTTTGGCAACATTTTTCCACTTTACATTATTTGTAATTCTACAGAGAAGCATGATGTCAAAGTTTCCGTGAATGATATTGTCATCAAAGCCGTAGCAGTTGCTCTAAGAAACGTGCCTGGAGCAAATGGTAAATAAAACACATTTTTGTAAAATGTTATTGGTGGTAAAATTTTCTTTTCAATTGGCAGTAGACTTGACTGTGAGAGTATAATTTTACTTTATTTCTAATTGTGCGATCAATCCCTGTTTAAAAAGTTTTTGTTGATTGTGCGTGCTTTTGCAATTGGTTTCCGTCCTGAAACTATAGAACTGTTCAAAACTGAAATGTTCGTCACATTACAGCTTATTGGGACAATGAGAAGGGGGAAGTTGTTTTTTGCGACTCTATTGACATATCAATTGCAGTTGCTACTGAGAAGGTGCATATATCTTTTCCAAAATTAGTTATTTAAGATCGGTAGACAGGCAAATGACTACATATTTAAATTGATGTAGGGTTTAATGACTCCAATCGTGAGGAATGCTGATCAGAAGACTGTATCAATGATTTCTTCGGAGGTACTATCTTTATTTGAGCACTTGAAGATGTTCACTTCTTTAATTTCTTCCTCATTGAGCTTGAATTTTACTATTTATGATATGGTGAATCTTTGGAGGCATGCTCATAAATTGTTATGATACGTTTCTCCATACGATCATTTCAAGTTTTCAGTGTGAAGCTTTAAACAGTTCCTTTAAAGTTTTCAGCTGGACTCAAATCTTCCACCCAATACCTGTCAACAAAACTAGATTCTGTTTAATTGTTATATATACTTTCAAACTGCGTATCGAGTAAAATTACATGTACTTGTGCCTTCTAATTAATTCTCAGTTATTATGCATCTGATTAGGTCAAGGAGTTAGCTGAGAAGGCCCGTGCAGGGAAGCTCAAACCAGATGAATTCCAAGGAGGCAGTTTCAGGTGATTGTGTACATATTATCAGAATCAAATTTACTGAATGTATCATGATGATGTTAAATTGTCAATATCTAATACTGAGGAATATATATGTATTGTGCCAAACTATAATTATAGCATGATGATGTTAAATTGATTCATCTATTAATTACCCATACACTGTTGCTTAAGGATTTTGTTGAGCATCAATTACTAACTTACATTGACGACTTTTCTGCAGCATTTCAAATCTAGGAATGTTCCCAGTGGATCATTTTTGTGCTATAATAAACCCTCCGCAGGTTCTCCTCTATTCATCCTCTCTCTCTGGAGTCGATGTCTTTTTGACCTCTGCATGTAGTTTTCTTTGGATTCATGATGATTTAGTAACGGCAGCTTCAAATGTTCTTTTCTATTTTAGTATTTGTGATTCTCGTTCTGTATGTGCACAAACTTTTCTACGTTACTTGGGGGATGGCTGGCCGAAGAAAAGTCTTCAGCATCGGTTTCTGCCATTTCTTTCAGGCATTAGATTAGGTCTAGTTCGGAGAATAATATCACATGGCTAATACACTTTGGTAATAGCAGAGCATTCTGTATGTCCTTGTAATTACATTTTCATGTCTTTCAGGCTGGAATTCTTGCTGTAGGTAGAGGCAACAAAGTTGTTGAGCCAGTAACTGGAAATGATGGTACAGTACTTTTTGAACCTTAAAATCTTGATGCTTCTAACAACAAGTCAAATAACTTTGGTTTTACCTTTATCCAGGAACTGAGAGACCTGTTGTCGTCAACAAAATGAATTTGACATTGTCTGCCGATCATCGTGTTTTTGATGGAAAAGTCGGAGGTACGAAAACTGTTGTGGTTTTTTCAAGCTTTTCATTTTCTTGTTTCTTGTCATATCACGCCTGATGGATATGAATCTTCTCAAATTTCTTATTCTTATTGGGTCTGGGAGAGATTCCCAAAATTAGTATGATTTCCATCCTTGGATATAGCTTGTTCTTCGTGAATCTTCGTCGGGTTTGCAGATTCAAAATAATGAAGTCTGATGGCAATTGATAAATATTTTTCATGTGGTCTTTTGATAAGCAAAACCCTTACTTTGCTACCATAGTTAACAGAAGCAGGTTGTCGTTAAGTTCAGTTTGGTTCAAGTGCTTTATATACGAAAAACGAGTAATTAGTGTGTTATTGATGGCAACTACTGAACATGCTCCTTCTGCAGGTGAATTCTTCTCAGCATTACAAGCAAACTTCAGCAATATCCAGAGACTGCTACTGTAATGTGATCGAGATTTCGAAACCTTATTTTTATTCCGGAAAATGTGAAAGTATCCCTTTGATTTTGGGATTGAACAATTCATATGCAGCTGTTGCCTCTTTCCAACAGCAAAAAGTTTTCAAGAGAACCAAACTTTAAGGTGCCATTACAAAGCAACCTAGGAATAATGGTGTATAAAAGCATGAGTCCTGTCATTTTTTTTTCAATAATTGCTTTTTCTTCAAACAAAATTTTGAATCATTTTGATCACTCCATCCTATTTGTGGTAATAAAAGAAATTGGCCATTTGATTGCCATATCAATCTCTCTTTCCCATTCTCAACCTCGACCAAGGATGCCGATGGAGCGTAAATGATACCGTAAGATGGAAACTTGAACCTCGACCTAAAAGGTTAGTAAGTGTTTTCTTATTAATGTATCATTAGAACCCAACGCTTCATTCTTTCTTAAATGTTTTTTCTTTCTTAGATATTTTTTTCGGGTAAACTTCATGTCAATTTGAACTTAGTTAAACTCGACAAAAGGTCGTGAATTTGAATCTTTACCTCTCCATGTGTATTTAAAAAAAAAAAGCTAGAATATTCCACTATTGTAATATTATATTCTAATAAAATAAAATAGCAGTAATAGAACATGGTTGAGACCTTAAATTTTTGTTAAAGAAATCATTCCAGAAAAAGTGAGTGGAGGGCATTTAAAGTAGGTAGCATTCATCGATATCCCAAAATGAGACACTAAAAGTTCGAATTTTCAACAATTCTAATGCTATATTCTAACAAAAAAATAAAAAAAATAAAGTATCAAGAAATCATCATCTTTTAACACAAATGATTTCTGACCCCTTCTCTCTATATAGAAGTACGAAATTATATAGTTCTGGAGAAAGAATAGTTTGAAAAAAAGAAGAAAAAAGAAGTTAAAGTTGCTTCCATTATTGTGAGTCTGTTTTGAGAGCAAGTGGTTCGTACCATCGAGGGCCAAAGCCGGCGGCTTTTCTTGCGGCTTCATTGAATGGTGGCTTCAGTGGACCCCTGAAGTAGTTTCTCACAATTTCATGAAACTTGTTAATGATGTCTTCGTCCTCCATTTTCACTGCATTGGCCTCATCTTCTTCATCCAGCATCAGTTTTCCAGACCTCTCGCAGAGATATTTAAACCATTTTACTCCAGCACCACAATGGGTTACTTCTTCTGGGTACACTACTTTCTCCAACAAATCTGCAGTCTCATCGTCACCTCCGTTGCGGAATCGACAGATGGTTGTGGGAAGCACGTCCAGCCCTCTAGCCTGCTTATCCAAAGTATTCAGGAATGATTGTCAATCAAAATATGGGCATCAAAATTTTGGCATTCGGAGTATTTTAAATGAGATGTTTCCTTAGTAACACTTCTTTTCTTTCATCGTATTTTTTTTTTAGTGTTTCTTCTAGATGCCTTATGAAGTACTATTAAGCACTTTCCATACTTCAAAAAAAATAATAATAATAAAAAATGAACAAGTTAATTCTAGATTTATTTTATTATAGTTGTTTTGATCCAATTTTATACAAAGATGTATATTAGTCCACGAGTGCTAGATTTCTATCTGCATTTAATAGAAATCTTGTAGGCTGCTTTAAATACATATATTCATCAGCCTAGTGTCAAATTTGAAAAAGAGAACTTAATATTCCTGTTAAACTAAATGGAAAAATTAAATTACGGAAAAAAAAGGACCAAAACAGCACATTTAAAAGTATAAAGACCAAAATAGAAATGAAACCTTAATTCTATCACCTTATCTTATAGGTTCATTGATGTAGAAAAATTGTTAACTAGAAAATTTTACTTGATCTACATTCTCATCATTAGTATATGCTACCCTAAACTCAGCACACACCTTCCTCAAAAAAGAAAAGAAAAGAAAAGAAACAAGCACGCACCTCGTGGACGCAATGCTCAATTGCTAGGCGTGCTAATAAATCCTTGGAAGTAGCAGTAGCAGAATCCCAAAGGCCATCATGAGCGGGGAGTGCTCCATAGAAAGAGCCCAGTTCCTTGAGTCGTGCAGCCAGAAGTGTAAAATGCCTACCTTCATCCTGAGCTACCCTAACAAAATCAGTGAAGAACTCTCTTGGCATTCCTTCTTGTTTTCCAAACCGAGCTATTATGTCCTACAGAGTTAGAACTTAGCCAAGTCAATAAAGACACTGCTAAAAAGAATTACCAAGATGAACCAATGAAAGGTTAGGTGAAGAATTAGATTAATGGCAGTAT